TCAAATACCATATCATGACGAAAAGGCACCGGAAAACCCCCCAGATATACCCATGGAACAGGAGGAAGACATTACGCCCATCTCTCCGGAATCCCGCACACCTCTCTCTCCACTTCAGTCAGCTGGTGGCCAATCTTCCGGTCCACCGCCCATCGGTTCAACTGGAGTAAAGGATCCAGCAGCAGCCCCACCCATCACTATAACCAAGGACAAATCGAATGTTACACCCTCTGGGCCCAACCTGATTACCCCTTCACCCATGTGGTTGCCTATTCAATACGACCCCGAACAGCGGCTGTTCACATTACCAGAGTCGGACCCCTTGGACAAAGCTGGTCCTCCTCCCAAAAAGTGGAAGGCAGCTCGACGTCAAATCAGGACGCTGGGTGGCGGGTCTCTGGAAACCAAAGCCTGGGTCAGCGATGGCGAAATTGCCGTACCATTGAAAGCACCCGCAGACTTTGTTCCTGGGTATTATGCTACGGCGTCAACCTCTCTTTCTGTCAATAGCCCTGGAATCAGCAGTGCCCTTCAAGGGTTGATGGGACTCAGTTCCGCAGCACTGGGTATGGGCGGCAGCAGTGGAATAACTGGCACATCCACAAGTAAGGCGTCCTTGAATCCTGCTCCGATAAAACGGGTCAAAAAGGTCAAGTCCGATATACAACTGGATGCAAGTAGCGGTATCGCGACCCCCTCGACGACGGGTAATACACTAACGGGAAGGAAAAAAGGCACCGGACAAGTGAAGAGAACCAAAAAGTCGGCCACAGGCACAGCTACCCCGACTGTAGTGGACACACCTTTGGTCACTATTAGTAAAGCTGTGTCCGACGTCGATACAGAGATGCAAAACGCCTGAGATTCTCATAAAATAATAAAGGAATTCAACAACCACATTCACATCTACTGTTTCATTGTTTGTAATGCATATAGGATAGGCAAGTCGGCATTTTTTTACTCTCTACTTTTCAAGTCTTTATATCACTGTCGGAATACGGTCGAGGTATTTCCTAGTCTCT